TTACATTTTGAACTTTGATTTCTATCCATCTAAATTTTGGCATAAGTGCAATCCTGCTGCAAATATTGTTTTGTGGTCTGCTTCTTTCCCCTAGAATATACTGGGAGCATCTTTCCATATCGATAGATCTCTTTCTAACATATTTCTTATCTGTTGTATTGTATGACACGTATTTGGCTCTTTAAAAAAAAAAAATCAGGCCAAATGTCACGGACCCACATGTTGTAGTCAGGATGCTTCTGTCAGTTAAACTCCTTCTAAAGGCCAAATGTTCCAGAACCATGCCAGGGGGTGCTGAAAAGGCACTCAGCGGTCTTTCACAGACTCTGGTTGCAGTGTGGATGGAAAAGGCGTGACAGGTTAAACCTGACAAATTTAGGAGACTAAAACTAAGATGGCGTGAACACACACACACACACACACACACACACACACACACACACATTTTTAACTAAGTGGGTCATGGTGGGAAGCCACATCTTCAGCTTCCTCATCAAGTTAATCTGTGCCTTTTCAGTGGGCCTGTTGTCTTTCTGTACCTAAAACAACATCTTTAATCCTTTTCCTGGACCAGAGCTAACCCCCCTCCCCCTCACAAAATTCCTCATTACCATGCTTATCTCCTGATTACCATCCCTTTGTGCTGTAAAAAGCTAACTGTTAGCTATCCTGCACCCACCTATGTAGAAGAAGTACCTGTCTGTCCAATTTACTTCTATCCAATCCCAGAGGTTTCCCCGCTTTGCTTTCCCCCTCCCCCTTCATCTATCACCAATGGGTTTCATGTAACCCTCCTCCTTTGATTTTATGTATAAAATAAACTGTAAAACTGCCATTCTTCGGAGCATTTTCTCAATCCGTTGAGATTTTGCTTCCCGGCAATTGTCGACAGTTTGGCTCAAATAAACTCTTACAAGTTTTCTCTTAGGCTGGATGTTTTCCGTCAACAGCAGCAACTTTGACAGAAAAGTAGCAGTTTCCCCCCACATTTCCTACTAGAACTCTCCACTTAATGTGGTGAGTTCTCAGCCCCAAGTGTCACAGACAATGCTTAGGGGACTAGGGCATAGCAAAGGTGACTTGGAAAGAGAAGGTAAAGAGGGGAGGAGGAGAGGGAAGA